GCAATTAGAGAAGACTAATAAGTTGATAATAATTTTTGCATATTTTCATTAATTGGATCTAGAATATTTATATCTAATTGATTAATATTATTAATCATTTCAACTTCATTATTATTATTATTTTAATAATTTTTAATCATCATCAATAATTATTCAATGTATGATTATTATGTTTTATTTTATTAGACTAAATTCATATAAGCCTAATATAATATAAATTAATTACTTGATGAATGATATTTCTCTCAATATTAATATCTTAAATTTTATTTTACATAATTTCAAAATATTATCTCATATAATTAACTTAAACAATAAATTCTGAAAGTTATTCATTTGAAATAGTATTTTATAATTTAGTATAAATTTCATTTATATATTTACTTTATCTTAAAATAATATCATAGATATGTGATTCATCCTTTTATTCTTCTTTATATTACTAAGCAATTTAATGAGTTTAATTAATATCTTTGGATGATGTGTTATTCTTTGAAGTTTTATTTTTATTAATTTACATGATAATATTTTTATCAGATTAAATAAATAAGTTTTCTGTAAATTTTTTTAAATTTTCAATGTCTTACTTATATAATGTACTGAAATTATCTGTATTTTCTTTTTGATTATTAAGATATTAATTTAACTATTATAATTCCTATTCTTTTTATTCCAAAATTTCCATTACTTAATTAATTGCTAATTATTATTGTTAACTTTATTTAAAAAGTAATTCTAAATCATTTTATTTTTCTTCATTTTACAATTATAACTATTTAATATTTTCATTTAATTCAATTATTGTATTGTTATAATTCAATTCTTATTAAGACCATAATGTTTAGTATTTCTCAATTTTTTCCTTTTAATTTACATTAATCTGCTTTTATCTAATTTCACATTTTTTAATGGTATCAATATTATTACTCTCTTTCTAAAGTGCAAGCTTTTCTTTTTCAAGTATTTTATTTTATGAATTCAAATATTCATTTTCATATTTCAATCTTATAATCTCTTTTTATTGGGTTTCAATCTTTTATTAGGGAGCATTCTTACTTCTGCTGTAAGTGTTTCAATAACTTTAGTGGCCTTCTCGATCTATTCATCCTAGTCTTCAATTTATTAATATAAGTAATTGATATTCATTTATTATTATATAAACTAATTCAAAATATCAAACCTTATAACTAAACTTTTATTTAAATTCTTATATTTTGTTATCAAATAACATAACTACCTACTAAAGTTTGATAATCATAACCTCTAGAATACCTTTGATATTATATTATTTTGAAAAATAATTATTTTCTTAACTCATTATTTATTGCTTCTATATTTTAATTATCTAATAATTATAATTGATAAATGAAAATCATTTATATTATTTAAGACTTATAAATAATAATATTATTTATTTAACAATCTAAATTTTTATATATAATGAGTTAGTTATATATAGAGTTACTTTAAATATTAAATAAAAGTATCTAACAATAATAATTATTATGATTCTTGATATAAACATTATATTGTTACTAATATTATTTATTCTTAATTAATAGTTATTGAACTGTTAATTTCTAGTGATTTCTAAATTTATTTATATTCTTAAAAACTTGAAAATTTAGTTGCAAGATGATTATACTAAATTTGAATGGTTCTATTACAAAAAGATTACTTGTAAATTATTTCAATTAAAAAAGACAAGATTTTAGAAAATATATTCTAAATGGAATATTGACAATAATTGGTTTGTAATAAGGAATGATATATTAAACTATTTTAAGAATTCTTTATCTTTAATCAAAGAGAGATTATTTCCTATATTCTTTTTTTATTAATTTTATTATAATGAATCAAGAGAAAACAGTTGAAGAACCATTACTTAGTTAAGCCAAAATGAATGAATATAAAGAGAGAGAATTTAGAGAATATCTAGTCAATTAGGATGTTACACTTGCAATTGTTAAATGTAAGTATATTAATTATTAATTGTTTTTAGTTCTTCTTGCTTTGAGAAATGCACCAAACAAACCTGATTCTCCAAGTCAAGCACTTATAGATTATTTTAGCATTCATAAAGATACAAGAGCTCATGAAGAATTCGAAAAATTGAAAAGTGATGTTGAATAATTAGAGCAAGGTTATTGATACTTATAACTGTATAGAGAATAATCAATTATCAAAAGAGATTGATTAAATAAAAGAATAGATTGTATAATAGAAATTAGAAAAATAACGTAGAGAAGAAGAGGAAAGAGTTCGTTAAGAAGAAGAGGCAAAAAAGAATACAAAGAAACCTACAAAAAAATGATTAATACATTAATTGTTATATAAATATTAATATTTTTGAATTCAAATAAATGCAAGACAATATAGGAACAAGAGTTTTTGGGAAAAATCTTGAAAATTAAGCAGAGAAGGCATCTAAGAATCTTAAAAGTAAAAAAGATACAACACTTGATGAATTGGGAGGGAAGGAAAATATAATAAATGATGCAATTTGGACAAAGGAGGGTTTAAATAAATTAGACTCACCTTAACTTGTTAGCTTGTATTAACAAGAAATATATGAATTTTTATATGAAAAAGAAAAAAGTATGGGAGAACCTAATTTTCAAATGTCTTCCACAAAAATTAATGATACTATGAGAGCCACAACAGTATATTATTATATTAAATATAGGTTAGATACATTGTAAAACTAATTAGATGTTTTAATTTAAAACCTGAAACACTCTTTTAGACTGTTGATTTAATGGATTAAACAATCCCGCTTCTAAATCCTGAAATAGGGGAATTAGAGCTTGTTTCATTAACATGTCTATTTATTGCATCTAAGTACGAAGAAATATATCCACCTCCCTTAGCAGCTTTGCTAAGAGCTACAGATATTAAAGCCAAAGATGTTATTGAGATGGAAAAAGAAATACTTAATAAATTAAATTTCAATGTCATCAGTGATAACACTTTGGTATGGTTACAATTAATAGGAGAAATCTTAGGATACAATTGTAAATACACTGATTAAATAAAGCAAAGATGTATGTAAGTTTAATTCCCATTTTATTAGGAGTTTAGCTGAAACAAGCTTAACTTCTTCATTATTTTTGAATCACAAAAAATCAGTAATTGCTTTGAACATATTTATGGCTGTTGAAATGAATTTAGGTAGTCAAAAAACATAATTTAAATGGGAAAGACTAACTTAACATTAGAAACCAAGCAATGAATCAAAAACACTCAAATTACTGACTTATATTTTGAAAATCAAATGAATTTTACTTATTAAACTTTGTTAATAAATCGAATTTTCATCTAATCAATTATCAATGTTTTTTTCTTATTTTAATTATAGTATCACTGATAATATTTTATTAAGAAAGAAAATATAAAATACAGATAACTCTAAACTTATAAAATAATAATCGAAAAGAATCAATTCAATAAAAGTAGAATTTAGTAGTTATTATCATTAGAAAAGGTTACTTTGAAAAATGCTATGCTTAACTTGGCATCTTTTTATTTAAACCAAAGTATCAATTATATAATCTTTACTCTCCTTAAGATCTATTCTATCAAAAGGTAAAAATATAATACCCCCATAACATAAAATTCTTTAATTTTGAATATTCAAAAAAAAAACCATACCAACAAAACACAACTATTTCATTATAAATAGAAGCAAATCTAATTATTAACTCATTCAAGTAAATAAACATAAAAACAATGAATAAAGTAAATATATATAATTTAATTTATTGTTTTATAAAATATAGATATAGTTGAAATTTTATCTGATTTTTCTTTTAATATAAGACATTAAATTGACATATTTATGTTTAATTTATATTTTTTATTTTGACAAAACAATAATTTTATTATCAATAATATTAATTTATGTGTTCGATTCAAATAGGTAATTACAGAAGAAGAAATAATTATTAAAGGTACTATAGGATAGTGGTGATATAAAAAAGTAAATTTTTAACATAATTAAACTATAATAAATAAATCTATCAAAAATAAAAAGAATTTAATTTTACTTGAAAATATAAGTTTCAATTTTATAATATACTATCTAATTCAGTAGCCTAAAGTTTTAAATAGTCAAATTTTACATAGCTAAGTCAAATAATTTTACCACAATTAAGTTATGTATTTAAACTAATGCATTAATAAACATGTTATTTGATTAATTCTAACGATAGAATTAACGGTAATTAAGTAATTTATTTTTCATAATCTGTCTAATTGATAAATGATTATAATAGAAATGAAGAAAATACTATAAATTTTTAATCAATAATTATAATTTTTTTCTATTTAAAGTTTGGTTAATAATCGAAACTCAAAATTTGAAAGAGTATTAAAGATTTAATTCTAATCATTTAAAATAAATTATTTGAATCAAAAAAGTTGATATGTATATGAATATTAAAATTTTTAATATATTTAGTATCTTAGTTATTTTAAAAATATAGCTTAATTTTTATGAAAAATGCTTCAATCATATAATTTATTGATACTAAACAAGAATAAATATATATGTTTTCAAAATATAAAAAATTTTAATATTGAAGAAAGACTAATATATATACTTAAATATTGAAAAATCTCCCTATTTACGAATTTACTTTATTAATATTTAATAAATGAGAAATATTTTATATAACCTTATCTAATAATTCAAATTTGATTTTATTTAAATAAATATTATTGAACATTGAATATATATGTTCCCTTATTTTATATTTAAATAATTTTGAGATTATTCACATTCATAGATTACATGAAAAGGTATTTAAGAAATTAATTAAAGTAAAATATTTATTTAATATCATAAAAGCCAGATACTTAATTAATTTAAATTTTAAGATAAGGGTTAAATAATTTTGGAGAGTTAGGAGTTTCTACAATTAAATATTTATTTAGAAAAAGATCATCTATCATACAAAAAACAATAATAAATAAAAGAAAATTTTTAAATTGATTTTATGTATATATGTATAATGTTATTTCATGGTTATTGTGATTACTATTATTGGACTGCCTATGACCTTGGCTATTAAGATTGAACTTATTATGGCTAATGGGATTATTATTATTATGGTTAAGATGGTCTTGTGATTGGAGGAACAGCATATTATGGTTATACAAATTAAGGAACAACTCTAGATGCAATCAATGGTTGTTAAACATATTAAACTGGTTATTAAACATATTAAACTGGTTATTGAACGTATTAAACTGATTATTAGATGACTGGTTATTAGACAACTGAAACAGCTTATGTTGGTTGTTAATGAACTACCTGTCTTTCAACTGGATAATATTCCACTCTTTCTTAATATCTATCAACTGGTACGTATTCTAAATAATAATTCTTTATTATTACCTGTGTATTTTTCTTAGAATACTTATGGGATATATTCTGTTTAATATTCAACAGCATAATAATCGGTGACTTTTGTTTCTCTTGGAACATAAGACACAATTTCTTATTCTTCATATTCAACAACAGCTTTTTAATATGGAATATATTCAATTCTGGATTCACCTTTAATGGTTTGGTGCTAAAATTCAATTCAAATTTACTTAAGCTACTGGGGCAACTGCTATAGGTTAAACTTGGACAGGGGCTATTTATTAAACAGGAACAGATGTAATTGGAGCAACAGGCACTTANATATTTAGTATCTTAGTTATTTTAAAAATATAGCTTAATTTTTATGAAAAATGCTTCAATCATATAATTTATTGATACTAAACAAGAATAAATATATATGTTTTCAAAATATAAAAAATTTTAATATTGAAGAAAGACTAATATATATACTTAAATATTGAAAAATCTCCCTATTTACGAATTTACTTTATTAATATTTAATAAATGAGAAATATTTTATATAACCTTATCTAATAATTCAAATTTGATTTTATTTAAATAAATATTATTGAACATTGAATATATATGTTCCCTTATTTTATATTTAAATAATTTTGAGATTATTCACATTCATAGATTACATGAAAAGGTATTTAAGAAATTAATTAAAGTAAAATATTTATTTAATATCATAAAAGCCAGATACTTAATTAATTTAAATTTTAAGATAAGGGTTAAATAATTTTGGAGAGTTAGGAGTTTCTACAATTAAATATTTATTTAGAAAAAGATCATCTATCATACAAAAAACAATAATAAATAAAAGAAAATTTTTAAATTGATTTTATGTATATATGTATAATGTTATTTCATGGTTATTGTGATTACTATTATTGGACTGCCTATGACCTTGGCTATTAAGATTGAACTTATTATGGCTAATGGGATTATTATTATTATGGTTAAGATGGTCTTGTGATTGGAGGAACAGCATATTATGGTTATACAAATTAAGGAACAACTCTAGATGCAATCAATGGTTGTTAAACATATTAAACTGGTTATTAAACATATTAAACTGGTTATTGAACGTATTAAACTGATTATTAGATGACTGGTTATTAGACAACTGAAACAGCTTATGTTGGTTGTTAATGAACTACCTGTCTTTCAACTGGATAATATTCCACTCTTTCTTAATATCTATCAACTGGTACGTATTCTAAATAATAATTCTTTATTATTACCTGTGTATTTTTCTTAGAATACTTATGGGATATATTCTGTTTAATATTCAACAGCATAATAATCGGTGACTTTTGTTTCTCTTGGAACATAAGACACAATTTCTTATTCTTCATATTCAACAACAGCTTTTTAATATGGAATATATTCAATTCTGGATTCACCTTTAATGGTTTGGTGCTAAAATTCAATTCAAATTTACTTAAGCTACTGGGGCAACTGCTATAGGTTAAACTTGGACAGGGGCTATTTATTAAACAGGAACAGATGTAATTGGAGCAACAGGCACTTAGGCCACTGGTGCATATTAAATAGGAGCAACTGGAGCCACATAAGACTATCTAATTGGAGAAGCTGGATAATAAGTAGGTGGTAAATAAGTATTTGGATAAACAGGAGCAGTAGGTCTTGCTTAAGGAGCTGAAACTTATTATGGTTATTATGATTATTAAGCAGCTTATGGATGATTTGACATTATTGTTTATTTGGTAAATTCAAAAATAATATTAAAATTTGATCCTCAAATTATTTAAATAACTTATTTCAACATATATATATATTAATATATAATAATATATATTTCATAAATTATAAATCCAAATCATCAATGATATTATAATGTAATATATAGACATTAAATTCAACAATTCATAAATCAATTCAAGGATACAAGATAATTAAAAAGGTATCTTTGAATATTATATAACCCTAACAACTACAATACTTTGATTTTTCTTTTTTTTATACTAATGATTTGATCATCAAATATTATATTGACATCTTAAATAATCTTAATATTATATAGAATTGAGATAAAATTATAAAGATAAAAATGGTTACAATAGATTTTTCTCTACTCCATTAATATATAATTTATATTAATTTAATTATATTTCTATTAAGAATATTATATTACTTTTCAATTCTTTTTTAATATTGTAAGAATTAATTTGAGAGAAATATAAACTTAATCATTTCAATAGATCTTATTTAAAAATTTGTTGAAATCCAGATTTATATAAATATATATTCCAAATTATAAAATATATCTATTAAGAATCTACTCTAATTATCAATTTATTTTTCAATAAATATCCAATAATTATTTCCATTTATGATGTTTTTTGTCAAAACAACAAGATAAAGAAATTATTGTATTTGAATTAAACAAATTTGATTCTTATAATTCTTAACACTAAATTATTATTGAATTCTTACTAATAAATTATTCAATTATCAAATTCAAATTAAATTAGTTCATATAATTAGGTTTTAAAATAAGGGTTAAATAATATTAATATATATATTTTATTAGTTTGGAAAGAGATCATAATCAATAAAATTAATATTTTTAAAAATTAAATGCAATGTAAAAAAGTACTCATAATCTAAAAAAAGTAAACTCTTTGTTTAATTCTAATTTATTAAATAATAATTATATATGACTTAGATGTTGATTCTATATTATATTGATACAAAATTATGATTAAGTAATACTTATTATTAATATTTAATCTCATTTATTAGTATTATTCATATAATTACTTATAAATGATAATAATTCAATTTAAAATATAAGTAATTTACAAAAATGATCATTGGAAAAAGACGGTTGAAACAAATAAAACTCATTCTTGTATCTCCTACATTAGAGAAGATTACAGTATTATCATATCTAGTCTTAATACCATTAATGGTAGGTAACATAATAATCTCAAAATTAGATGATGTATGAAACTTATGGATTAGGTAATGGATATTTAAATTTGTATTAAATCAAATCTTAATTCTAAGTGAGTACTTGGCGTAATAGTTCGACAGTTGAAGAAGCATTCAATTATTTGATGAATGTTTTCACACCAAAATATTTTGCAAATTAATTTAAGTCATCTCATATACCACTTTCAAATTTAATTATAGCTTAAACACGAAATGCTATTTAAAAATGTAATACTAATATTATAAATTGTGAATATGGATCAGACTAATATTAAGAAGTAGAATTCTAAGCTTTAGATGTTAATAAATGTGTTTCTGAAAATTGTACAGAGTTTATTTAAAGTTAAAATGCTTTTGGAGGAATAAAAATAGGAATAGATGGTCATTATTAAACATATTATGATTTCTATTATTATAGTGTATTAAAAATAGCAGATAATTACACAGATTTTTATACAAAATTAATTGAAAATAAATGGGTTGATAATCATACTGAATCAATTGGAATATTTGGATCACTTTATGATTTGAATAGTTAATAATAAGTTTAGATAACTTTATTATTAGAATAATAATTTGCTAAATACCCATTATATTTATAAGAAACATTTTTTTAATTGCCTTTTTTTGATTTTAAAGATACTATACATATTTTGTTATTTTCTTATTTGATATTTATTGGACTATTAAAAATATTTAGAACCATGTTGGAATTAACATATATTTTTTCAAGATTCAATTTCTTTTTTTAATTGTATAACTTTGCTGCACTTATTGTTTATTGTATAGTACATTTTTAGATTCTTATTGTGAGAGATTAAGCTTAAGATAATAATTTAATATTTTCTAGAAGTATATTGGAAAATAATTTTAGTGGAAAGATTTTATCAGTTGGTAATGCATTATTAATAAATGATTATCAAACTACTGAGGATGTTGGAAAAGTTTTGCTTTTATTAAGTTATCCATATTCATTTGTGTAATTTATATTATTTTTTAATGCCGAATGGATTTAGAATTATCATACATTATAAATGCGTACTATGCCTGGTCTTTTGACTTGTTCAGTCTTATCATTAGCTTTTTATATCTTAACAGTTTTACCTCAAGGCTATTTAGATAAATAATATAGGACAGGTCATCATTCTATCAATTATATAGCTTATTTATTTGCTTAATTATTTTTAGATAATTACCAAGATGATGAAGTATTCTATATATAATAACAGAATTTAGGATTAAAAATAATTATTAAGCATTATAATTGAGATTTTGCATTATCTATTTTAGATTCTCATAGCTTTATATGTGATTGCATTATCTATAGAAGGTTTTAGAAAAGCTTCAATATATGAAATGCCTTATTAAACTAAATATGACAAAGAATTTATCTAAAATTTTGATAATCTTAATATAAAAATAAATAAGTAATATATATAATATTTATTTAAAAGGGTTTTAAAATAAGTATAAAAGTTGTTTATAAAAGAGAAATAATCTTAAGGTAAGAAAATAAATAGAAGAGAAGAAGATAGATAATCATAAATATTAGATGATGAAGAAACTTTAAGTGATATGTCAGAAACTAAATCTGATAAAATATTAATAGTTTTTGAGATTAATAATGCATTTTTAGAAGATATTAATAGATTCAAAGCCAGAAGAGATGCTAATTATTATGCATAAAAAAGAGTGAAGTATTCGAAATCCAATAAGGATTAAGCTTCATCTTAAAAAATTAGAATTATTTAATCATTACTTTAAAAAGATAAAGTAAATTAAAGATTACAAGTAATGTTAAGCAAACATTGTAAATTATAAATAATAATTATTTATAGAAACAAATGAAGCTTAATACACATAATTATAAGAAGATTAAGTAGAATAAAATAATGACTTCTTTTAAAATTTTAAAGAATAAATAAGTGATTAAGGAGTAAAGATTAGAGAATTTACTATTATTGATTAAGTCATTAAATTTTTAGAAATGCTATTAAGATTAAGACCAGAATTTTTAAGTTTAAATGCAGAATAAAGAATTAGAATAATGTTTTATATAAATTCAGATTAAGTAGAAGAAGAGGATGTATATAAATTATTAAGTTTTTTAATTGTTAACTTAGCAAAATAACATTTGAATTATCCTATCCTTGTATTTTCTTGTCATAAAGAGTGGTATATTGAAAAAGAATAATATTTAAAATTGAAAAAGTTTTATAGAAATATATTTTCAACTTTAGAGAAGGAATGTGCATTAGATTTTAGTTTAATGTAAACATCATTCTTTGATTTCTAATTGAAATTTTCAAAAGATTAATAATTTTATGAGAAGGAAAATTAAGAAGAAATATCTAATTCAATGATAGAAGAAGGAGAAGACAAATCAGAATTACTTTGATAATTAAATATATTAATATCAATATTGTAATTATAGTTAATAAATTATAACTAATATAACATGTTTAACTTAAATACATATTTCATATATACATCAATATTATAGAGATTTCTCATTTAATCAATTCAATATAATAGTTGCATCAAAATATCCAGTTATTTACATCGCTGCCATCATTATGGTAATAAGAATCAAAAAAATAATAGGAACCATAAATGGATTACTTATTAATTTGCTTCTTATTGTTTATGAAGGCTAATCAACTTCAATAAATGATTTATGTAATTAAAGTAATTCAATGTAACCTTAAGTTTCTTCTTAATTATCGATAAGTGGCAAATTCTCTTCATTCATATTTTATTTAATGGAATTGCAAAATTAATTACGATCTTACTTAAGTTCTTATGAAACTTATCCTTATGTTAGAGATATCAAATTAAGAGTACTTTATGGTGATAAGTAAGATTTTAGTATAATTAAGATCACATATAAAATTAGTTCAATAATGTTTGGCTAGTTTTCTGATAGATAATGAAGAATCTCCAATTTTAAGGTTACTAACTCTCAAAGTAAGAGTTCTAAACAATTTTTATAATAGTTCAACAAAGAATTAGCTGAAACATTTAATGAAGATTACATCCATTTGATGTAAAAAATTGTTCTCCCAAAAATGGAATAGATTGCTCTATTTTAAAATGATTCCAAAGACTGTGATAGAGGCAAACTATATTTTTTAGGGAATCAAAAACCCCACTAAGGTATGTAGAGTACAAAAGTAGTTCAGGTAACAAAGAGTTGCAGGCAATAGGCGATCAATTTTTGAGAGTAACTCTAGAATGTATTAGGATATGGGGAAGGTGGTTTCCTTTAGATAAAATTCATCATAGATTAAGTTTATATCGTGTAGCATATGAGAGATTATACAATTTAGGTATACAATTTCCAGAAATTCAATATTTTGATCTCAACTAAGTACATATAAATTTGCCTTCAACATTTCCTCCTTTATCTATGATGATGTAATTAAAGAGTGTTTTAAGTGAGCATTCTAGATCAAGTACAAAAGAGATTTGTAGATATTTAGAATCTCATCTTCCTGAAGAATATCATTAGACTTAATATTCATCATTTGCTGAATTATTTTAGACAATAGTCAAAAAACATATAATAAAGAAAAATAAATAAGCAAGATTAGCTAATCTATTTCTAGAACGTGATCCAAAATATTAAGAAGTAAAGAAAATGGAAGATCATGAAGAATGGACTTAATTATAAAGATTATAAATTGAAAATTAATAACTTACTTATCTTAATAATATGCATCAATAAAAAATGTAAGATTTATAAAAATAAATAATTGAGACTTAAAATTAAAATTCATTATTATCTTAAAATATTAAAGAGTAATAATTATTAATAGAGCGATATGATACTAATTTTAAACTTTTAGAAAAGAAATATGAAAAACTATTTGAAGATTATAAAAAAAACTATCCTTCCAAAACTCCATATATTCTTGCTACATATGAAAAAAATGTAATTATCACTGCTATGTCCTTTAGATAGCTGAATTTCGTATAGAATATGGACTTTCATACTCTGAAATTGAATGCCATAAATTAAGAGCTGAAAATGAATATTTACGTAAATAATTAGATGAATCTGATAGTATGTATGATAAAATTAAACATGATAAAGATGTTTTATTAACAGAAAATAAATTATTATCTGCTCGAATTTCTCAATTAGCATAAAAAATTGCAAAAGGTACTAAAGTTGAAAAAGATAATTCTTAAACTTTAGAGGATTTCAAATTATATAAATAAAAATCAAATTTAGTATAATATGAATAGGTTATGATATGTTAAAAAAGATAAATTACATAATTGAAGGAATAATTATTAAAAATGAATGATAAAAAATATAGTGTTACAAGTTAAACTTGGGGAGTAAGTACTAAATCAGATTCAAGAAGAAATATTAATGAATTATAAGCATGTAATATATCCTCTTAAAAATAATCTAATAATTAAAAAACTACACATAGATAATCAAAAATCATTATGCCTCCAATACTTGAATATGATCCAACAATATTTGCTGTTAATCCAGCTATTTTTAACACTAGATTTAGATAAGCTTGTTTTACTTCCAAAGCAATTATACATTAAGATGAATAGATTTAAATTACAACTTAAACATAATTAAAATTCAAAAAATTATTTATTACATTATCTATTGAAAATAAATCAAATATTAAACTTATTGGTTTCAAATTATAATTAAAAGAAATAGAATAATTAATAGCTTATGTATTAGATGAAATTAAAAGTGATTTAAATCCTGGAGAAATGTAGTAAATTAAATTAGAAATATCTATTAAAGAAATACCTTATATATTATAAGAAGCTTAAATATCTTTTATGGATAAGAATATATAATTTGTGATTCCTTGTACTATCAATAAATATTTAACTTTTAAATCTTGTGAATAGATACCTTAATCATTTTTTTATTAATGTAAACCATTTTTGACAGGATTCTAAAATTCTATTCCTAATCTATTACCAGAATTTGAAGTAATTAGCTAATCTGATACTGAAATAAGTGTCTTAGCTTCAGCTGATTATAATGAAGAAGAATATGAAATTATGATTTCCTGTAGAAAAAGTATGATGTAAATTAAAATGAATGGTGTTTATAATGATAAACTAGTGAAAACTATCATTTCAACTTACTAAGGGCTATTTTTGAAAAGATGATTTTATATTTATAAATGATATTATTATTATTCGTTATAAATTAATTAACTTTTTTTCTAATGATTTTTTATTAATTATTCCACTATTGTATTCATTACTAAACTGANGATAGCTGAATTTCGTATAGAATATGGACTTTCATACTCTGAAATTGAATGCCATAAATTAAGAGCTGAAAATGAATATTTACGTAAATAATTAGATGAATCTGATAGTATGTATGATAAAATTAAACATGATAAAGATGTTTTATTAACAGAAAATAAATTATTATCTGCTCGAATTTCTCAATTAGCATAAAAAATTGCAAAAGGTACTAAAGTTGAAAAAGATAATTCTTAAACTTTAGAGGATTTCAAATTATATAAATAAAAATCAAATTTAGTATAATATGAATAGGTTATGATATGTTAAAAAAGATAAATTACATAATTGAAGGAATAATTATTAAAAATGAATGATAAAAAATATAGTGTTACAAGTTAAACTTGGGGAGTAAGTACTAAATCAGATTCAAGAAGAAATATTAATGAATTATAAGCATGTAATATATCCTCTTAAAAATAATCTAATAATTAAAAAACTACACATAGATAATCAAAAATCATTATGCCTCCAATACTTGAATATGATCCAACAATATTTGCTGTTAATCCAGCTATTTTTAACACTAGATTTAGATAAGCTTGTTTTACTTCCAAAGCAATTATACATTAAGATGAATAGATTTAAATTACAACTTAAACATAATTAAAATTCAAAAAATTATTTATTACATTATCTATTGAAAATAAATCAAATATTAAACTTATTGGTTTCAAATTATAATTAAAAGAAATAGAATAATTAATAGCTTATGTATTAGATGAAATTAAAAGTGATTTAAATCCTGGAGAAATGTAGTAAATTAAATTAGAAATATCTATTAAAGAAATACCTTATATATTATAAGAAGCTTAAATATCTTTTATGGATAAGAATATATAATTTGTGATTCCTTGTACTATCAATAAATATTTAACTTTTAAATCTTGTGAATAGATACCTTAATCATTTTTTTATTAATGTAAACCATTTTTGACAGGATTCTAAAATTCTATTCCTAATCTATTACCAGAATTTGAAGTAATTAGCTAATCTGATACTGAAATAAGTGTCTTAGCTTCAGCTGATTATAATGAAGAAGAATATGAAATTATGATTTCCTGTAGAAAAAGTATGATGTAAATTAAAATGAATGGTGTTTATAATGATAAACTAGTGAAAACTATCATTTCAACTTACTAAGGGCTATTTTTGAAAAGATGATTTTATATTTATAAATGATATTATTATTATTCGTTATAAATTAATTAACTTTTTTTCTAATGATTTTTTATTAATTATTCCACTATTGTATTCATTACTAAACTGATATAATTATAATAATATTTTGGCTCTATAAAAATTTATTGAAACTAATCAATTTTGAAATATTAAAAAATTATTTTGTTAAAATTAATAATTATGTATATATTATCAAAATTTTAGTAGGACATAAGATAATGTCTCTTTATAAGAAAATTAATAGTAATTAAATCATTAAATTTGCTTTTCTTTTTTAATATTTCAAATCAAAATTAATATTCTAACTCAATATTTAAGTTTTTTTTTTCTTTTTTTAAACAAAATTTTTTATAATTAGAATTCTCTCTGTAAGATTTATAAAAAAAATGATATGATTTAAATTATCACTATTAATTAGATATTATTTTGATTGGAACTCAATTCTTAACAATCAGAAATATGAATTCCTTTTGAATGGGTGAGATTAATTCATTCATTTTAATTAAATATATCATGCTATAATTGAATTCTCATTGTTTAAATAAAATTGAGGGTTGAAAGTGACATCTTGATTAATACAGATATTCTCATCAAGTAATACTTCTGGTTCATCTGGATCTGTGTTGAGGACTTCTTCAATGAAAAAGCATTCATTATCATTTAGGCACATTTTCTTTTGAAGTTAATTTCCAAGATCTTTCAAATCTTCTTCTTAAAAATCCTTTCTTATTACAATTTCTTCATGACATACAGATTAAGGTTTCCTGTTTCCTACTTTGAAGTACTTTCTAGAATTGATATTATTCATTGTTGTACTCAGTTAAATTATTTAATATAAATTTAATGATCAATTCTGTTCTTTATAATCTATAGAATATTCATATTTAATATTTATTAATTCAACGATCATAGAGTTAAATAATATATACTAGAAATCATTAAATTAATCAATACTTATAAATTATTGTTTAATAATGCACATCTAGTTACAATAATATAAAATTTTAACTTCTTATTTTTTACTTAATTTGATTAGATTTCAAAATTAAGTTTAAGCTAATAATTGATCTCTTTTATGAAAAAATAAATTTTGAATATAAATTATAATTAATGAATTAATTGTTAAATAATTTAAAGTTTCATAAGCCATTTTTTAAGTTAAATACAGCATAGATTGAAATACTAAAAGATCCTGTAGACTTTTATGTGAATTTACATAAAGGAATAAAAAATGCTTAAAAGAGAATAGTATGGAGTACATTATATATTGGAAATGGAAATATGGAAGAATTTTTAATAGAGAGTTTATCTAATTAATAAAGAAGATTTGAATAGTTAAGGATTTCTTTATTGATGGACTATTATAGAGGGACAAGAAGAGATAAGAAAAATCATTAGACTCCTATTGATCATTATCTTTACTTAAGAATGCAAAATTTATACTCTAATAATATGAAACTTGGATTAATGAGACATCCATTCCTCCCTCAATTTGCTAATATGCTTGAAGAATCTGCAGCTAGAGAAATTTTCAATGTTCATCATATGAAATGGTATATCTTTGATAATCGAGTAATTTTAACAGGAGGTAATTTAATAATTAAATATATAGCTAATTTATAAGAACAGTACTTTATTAATAGATAAGATAGATATATGGTATTTCATGAAGCTAATGAATTAGCAGATTATTTAGATGATGCATAATCAGCATTATTATAACATGCTTATTATGTGGATTTTGATTCAAATTCTAAATTTGATCCTTTAAGAGCTCAACCTTTTAAGAGATAATAATATTTTAAAGAATTCCATTAAACTTGGAAGATCTTCAAATTTAGTTATAAAGAAGCAGCTGAAATTAAAAGTGATGATGAAGAATATTAAGAATAGTAATAAGAAAAAGTATAAAAGCAAGAAGAGGATAATGATAATAATATAAAATAAGAATAAGAATAAGAAGAAGAATTATCTAAAGAAGAAATGTTATAATTTTATGAAAGGGATTTAATTGTAGAATAGAAAATATAAGAAAGAAAAGAATAAGCAAAATTAATGTAAATTTAGTATTAATCATAGTGAAGATTGAATAAGAGTTTCAATAAGGGAGATGTTCAAAACATTATTAATAGATTAGAGAAAGCCCTTTATAAAGATGAGGAAAGAGAATTAGATGAGGGAGAGGAATGCACAGTATTAATTACTCTACATATTCCATATTTATAAACTGATGAGGACAAATTAGTTTTTATGAAAATTCTAGAAAATTTAGATTAATTTACATGTATATTAAATTTATATTTTATTAAGCTGTTACTTTGGCATCTGGATATATGAATTTTACTAAAACTATTATTAATTTTGTGAATAATTGCAAGACTGATATTAAATTTATTACTGCTAGTCCAGGAGCAAATGGATTTCATAAGGCTGGTAAAGCTAAATCATTTATTCCTATTTTATATCGTTATTTTGAATTGGATATTGATAAACCAATATTCGAATACAAAAGAAATGGTTGGACATTTCATACTAAAGGGTTTTGGGCTGAACTTTAAGATGGTTCTACAATGACAATTATAGGTAGTTCTAATTATGCTGTAAGATCAGAAAAAAGAGATAATGAAATATAAGCTTATATTTTTACTCAATGTCCTATGTTTAAATAAGATTTAAAAAAAGAATAAAATTACTTATTAAATTATGCTGAAAAAATAACAAAGGAAGAAATAATTAAAGATAATGAAATCAAAATTAATTGGAAAATAAAGTTATTATCAAAAATTTTTAAATCAATGATGTGATCTATAAATAAATAAAATAAGATAACATATTTTAACTATTTCAATCTATACTAATTTAATTGACAGTAATTTTAATATCAATCTAATTTGATATACTCATAATATTAAAAAAGAAGTAATACATAACAAATTAATTTAAATAAATAGTTAATTAGACATTTTGAATAATATATAAAACTTAGAGATTATTTTTGATTAATGAATGTATTTAAATCATAATTTCTTCAAAGGAACTTTCTTTCCAGCTTTAAGTGATTCATAATCATTTTTCAATTCTTCTAATTCATCATCAATTTTAAATATTTAAGTTTCAAGTTTCTTCTCTTTATCTTTCTCATTATTTGATTAAGCCCAATAATAGTGTTGCTAAAATTAGAATGATTTCTTACTAGCATTTCTCTTCTTTATTTTCTTAATGATTCATATTTATCTTCTATTTGATTAAGTGATGATCTTTTTCCAAAATATGAGCTAGTCTTTTCTATAGTTGTCATTAACATATACACAACTACTAATACAAGTGTGATTCCCAAAAGTGCATAATTCTGCATTTTTATTTAATTATTATTAAATATTTATATATATGAATCGACTTAGAGTTCTCAGGAATTTGACATTACCTAAATAGTTTATCAGAATCAGTTTTTTAACCTTACCTTATTTAATTTATCATAACTATCGAAATAATCCTATTCATTGTTCAAATGAAGGTAAATCATATAAAAATATGACATATCAGTTCGACAAATGAATTAATAAATGTTTGTTCAAAATATTCTTGGAAATAGATAAGATTATTTCTTCTTGGTAATCTATAAAGAAGAAGTAGATGGAGGATATGGTGAGAGAGAAGCTATTGAGATTGCTAAAAAATTGTAATAAATAGCTGATAAACTTTAAATTGATTGTATTTCATTTATTTAATATAGGTCATGTTTATACTGTGTCTAGACCATCTTTAAAATCTATTACAAAATTAGTCAATAGAGTTAAAAATGTAAAGATTTATGAGGGAGAAGATTTTTAGAAAATTGAAATATTTTTTAAAACTCCACATTCAGATGATTATGTTTACTTTCCTTTTAAAAAACACAACTTTTATCAACAAAATAATTTAGATAAAATATAGTAATACCTATTAATCACAATAGAACACGTGTATCGAGATTCTTTGATTTGTACTAAACAGTTACAACAAAAGAATAGTTTTAATCAATTATTTTAGAAAATTATTATTAATTAGACTCTCCTGTTTTTATTAAGTCTAATAGTATTGATGCATAACTTAAATTATTTAAGAAAATTTCCTTTTAGTTTTTAGAGAAAAAAACAGTAAATTAAAATTCAAAATTCCTTATTATAGATAATAAAGAACTATGTCAAGATTTGTAATTAAAAGATGATGATATATTATTATTAAGAAATGATATCTTATAAAAATATTAAAATTGCATTATCAATGAAAATAATCAAATAATACCATAATTGATAACTAAATAACAAATTGATTAATTAAAATATGAATCATTTAATGAATGGAAATAAAACAATAATAAACATATATCAAACACAATTACTGATAAAAAATAATTAAAAAATCAATTCACATTTGATCTTTAATAATTTAGTTTACCTAGAGTATTTTATTTAAAGAATAGTAGAAAGTCTAATATAGGAGCATTTGTTAGAAAGATCCAAAACAATAAAAACTAAAATGATAAATTAGTTGTTAGTCTATAATTAGATCCTAAACATTAAAATAGATTAGATGTAAAATAATTTATTATTATTTTATATAGAATCACATAAGGATATCATTATTTTTTAAATTATATGATAAATATAAGGATAAATTGGAATTTGTAATATCAGCTACAAATTAATTAGAAGAATTATTACCTCATTTAAATAAATTTTAAAGTAAGTTTGTTCTTTTTAATATCTTTAATTCAATATCTTATACAAAATAATTATTTCCATAAACTGCAAAACTTTATGAAAAATATTTCTTAAAAGATACATAATTTGTGGAGAGATATGAAATAATTGATTAATAATTGAATAATTTACTTTAATAATCTTCAGAGGAGAGAATAGTCAATATTAATTACTTATCATAGGATCTAGATAAGATTTAGGAAATTAATTTAGATTATTTTAATTTTCTATAGAATAATGAAAATAAGAACAAATAAATCATATTATATTATTAAAATGATATAATGACAGAGGCATTATTATTTATTTTGAAAGATATTAAAACAAAGTAGATATTATAAAATATTTTAGTTTAAAAATTTATACAATTTCAAGTCTAAATTAAATTCCAGCAATTTATTCATCCTTTCCAAATTAAAATGTATTGATAATAAATGGTACAGCTATAGGATTTCCAAAATTAAATGATACAAATTTAAATGAATTAAAAATTCAAGTTGAGAATTTGATCAAATAATATTTATGATTATAAATTATATAATAAATACAAATTTATCTTTTTTCAATTAATTATCTTTAAATTAAGATTTAAAAAGAGAACTAATTATGAGTTCTTAACATTTGTGATAATTTAATTGAAATTTATTTCTAATCTTTCAGGTTTTCATTTTTAGTTAATTAATAATCCTATTTAAATAATATAAGTAATTGTAGTTATCTTAATTTAATTAAAATTTTGTCAATTCCTAATAAATAATATTAAATAACATACAATAATATTAAAATTTAAGAACAACTAACTCATTTTATTACCAAATTTTAAATAAAATTAAAGTATTTTTTTTTCACCTATTCTTAAAATTAAGCAATTCCTCTAATTTATGGTCAATTCACATATCTTATGTATTTCTTAGTCTTACTTATAATATAATAAGAGTATTACTTCTAAAGTTGTTGGATATTGATTAAGACTATGAGTACAAATATTTACAATTTAATTCCACATACTTAATTCATTTTATATACTAACAAATGAGATTTTTGCGGGTTTAAAGTATAATTTCTTTCCAAGTAAATCGATAAGATCATTTTAATCTTTTATTAAAAGAAACCTTAAAAAACTCATTAAATCCAATATGTTAACATCTAAATATACATATTAATTAACCTTCTGGATCAATAACTAATTTAAAAGATTTTGGAAATTATAAAGTGTCTCTAATTAATTCTTCTTTTAATTATATTAGTGGTATAGGTCCATCTGGATCAATAATCACATTTACTTCATTTGCATTATTATCATCTACAACAAATCCATAATTTAATAAAAATCTTGAATTACATTTACTTCCATAACTATCAAAGATCATCTAACCTTTTTCAATATTTCCATCAGTTTCAATAATAAACCCTTACATTTCATCAGAATAACACCAAGAAGTTAATTTAGGACGTTTATGATTCAGCATATCTGCTAGAGGGACAAAGGCATCAGTTTTAATTCCTTAAATATTTATACCAAAAATTCTGCTGCATGCAGTCATCCTAGCCCAACAAAATTCATTAAATGAATATTAGAGGAATTCAGGAGCTATTTTACAAATATTATCATAATCTTTTTTTAAATCAATAATTTTATCTTTGACTTATTCTAAAATATTTCAAAATATTTAATACTTAAAAAAGATGAGCCTTTCAACCATTCGAAATCATTTTCATTAAAAAAGATTGGAAAATTGGAATATGATTTTGGAAGAATATCTAAATAAGGTTACCAAAATGAATCCTAATTGGCTTTTTCTTACAATAAAAAAATAGACAGAAATGAGTGTTTTGGTGATATTAAATCAAGTTTATATTGAAGTATTTTTTTAGCTATTGATGTTTCTTTTGTCATTTCTAAAGTTATCATATGTGATCTAGGAATGAATAAGATGATTTCTTTTGAACTTATAGCCTTTTTTGCATTTATTCCTCGATAATCTTCTGAATAGCATTCAATCTGAATTTTAGGAAAATGAGCTTATCCATTCTTAAGCCATTCTAAAAATCCATTTTATCTAGCCAACTCATCTTAATCAATTAAAGACTAAGTAATATATTATTATTACTTGTAGAACCAGTGATTTATAATAATTCGAGTGTTTCTCAATTTCTAAACTATGATTTTCCATTTATTCTAAGCATTATATAGCATCCTAACTATGATCATATAGATACTTAAATATAACCCATTTCATATAGTATCTAGGCCTTATTTGTTAAAGCCTTAACATAATTTGGATTCAACAATAAAGCTTTATTACAGTCTTAAAGGGCCAACTCTAAATCATCCGAATAAAAATATGCTTAAGATCGATTGTTAAAATAGATTGGATTTTCTTCAATCTCTAAAAACTATTAAGAAAACTCTTACAAATAGCTTTTGTGTATAAAGTAAGTGCTTTATCATATTCACTATTTAGAAAAGCCTTATTTCCTTCTTCCTATTTATTTTATTTATTATTCTTCTTACTTTGAGTTAATTTGAACTGAGTTCATTTCTTCTAGTTCTAGGTGGCATAAAATAATATAATTAAAATTATTCTAAATAATTTTCATTCATATTAAATGTTATTTTACTTTATTTATTTTTAAAGATTTTTTGATATTTAAATAAATTTTAGTAACAATCCATTCTATTATAATTATAATATTTAAGTAATTATTAAATAACTATATATTTTTTTCAAGATATTAAGTATTACTTTTGCCAACTAACTCAATTAATAATTAATATTAGGATTCCTCATATTATTTATGTAACTTATCTCTATCATAGATTATAATTATGATTTTATATCTATATCCTATTTCATCTAATTAATTGTTAAACTATTTTTATAATTAATGATCTATCTCAAATATATAGAAATAATATTATAATTTATTTTCATCTTTAATATAGAAAAATTTGAATGTATAAATTAGTTATTTGCTATTCAAATTGAACTCTTAAAAATAAAATTTAAGTAAAATACTTTTAGATTGCTCCTAATATTGATAATAATCTGATCATAATATTTACAATCATCAAAATTGTTAGTTTTAAACAAATATGCATTTTTCTATAATTAGACATTTACAAAAATAAATAAATCTAGATTGATTGATTTTTATTAAATAGAATGCTTAAATCAAATATTTTGAATTAAACTTTTATTTCTACTGTAAATTTTTAATAATATTGCATCAATAAAATATAAATGATCCTAAATAATGTATTTATTCATTTCTATCTTAATTAAAATTTCTTAATTAATTAATTATAATAAGTTTGTTAGTTTTATGAGAACTAAATTAAAGCAAGTAAATTCGTAAGTCAACAGTAAATCTAACTTTGATATATCTACAAATTTTTTAATAGCTAATATTATTATTAAATTATTGAATAGATTTTTGTATCAAGTAAATATTAAAATAGATTGAACATAATTTTTATAATAATAACTTGACGAGTATCAGTTGAATTTTATTTATAAATTCTGGACCTTTAGAAATCCAATTTGAATTATTATAGTGTTGCTAATCATTCTTTAATTCCAAAATATTTTCATGAGATCTTATAACTAATCTAAAATAAAAAAGTTGATTTAATAATGTTATTTATATTTATTTATTAAAATAAATAACAAAAAAAATTTATTAACTAATTCAGAATATAAAAAAGAGTAGATTAGTTTAGTTTGTAATAATATGTAATTTATATACTACTCATTCTTATTCAATTGTTTATCCTTAAGAGTTAATTGATTAATCAGTTCTTAATTAGTAAAAAAGAACGTAGGCTTATTTTGTAACAACCTATGATTCACTGATTTCTCCAACATGAGAGTCATCAAAATTATACCATTTTTTTGTAAACTATTGAATATATAAAATAAATACTTTATTTTTAGCACAAGCTGTATAATGACCTCCTCCAAGACCTCCAAAATGATTTGATACAGCATACAAATCATATATAACTTTTTGTTTATTATTTTCTCCATTGTCATCTTCTGTTTCAGTTTCATATTCCTAAGGTGTTTTGGAATTTATTAAATAATCAGTCATATCAAGTCCATTAATAGGAAAGTCTACAAAAGTTTCAAGTTTTTATTTAAACATTCTATTAGATTCTTTAAATCTTTTCAAAGTGAATATTAATATTTGTGGAGCCTATAATGATTTGAAATATATAATTAACCTTATATATTTACATGCTTTTCTAAGCTTAGACATGTTCTTTACAAACTTTACAAAACCAAGTATTATCTATATTTAATTATTCTGGTTATTGAGAGAATTACAAACAATCTACTAAAGTAACACTACCAGAATGTTGATTAGAATGACCATGATTTTTATATGGAGTAGTTTATTATTATGACTATTCAACTATTAATATTTGATTAATAAATTACTTTCTATTTTATTCTAACTTTTATAATGATCAAAAATATCAGCAAGTTTGATATTTTAATATGGAGATTCTTTCCAAAATATAATAATTTCGAAATGACCTTAATAATTAGAAGTAGCTATTTTCTTTTTGATTTCCTCAAGTTATTCATCATCAAATTGAACTTCACAATCATTACAATTCTTAGATGAGCAATAAGAACATGGATTCCAATAATTACTATTTGATTTGTATAAAATACTATAATACTAATAATAAATTAAAATATTACTTTATTTAATACATTTGTTTCATAATCTAATGTTTGATAATCAACAAAAAATTATTTTAAGTATTAGAATATTTTTAGATGCATTTATTTTCTAGTCATTTATCCATCAAAAATAAATAATCCACTCTAAAAATATGAATTTTTTTAAAATCCTTAATATTTATTTGAAAACTAAACAGGCAATTTATTTTATATTTAAGCTTCCTCATTTAAAAGAGCTCTAAAACACAATTATTATCTTTTAGCGCATCTTCGTATATCAACAATTGATCTACTTTCCTTTAATAATTCATAAGATGCATATTAATTAGCAATATAAGCAAATAAGTTTTATGGTTAAACCTTTAATTCTTATCCTAAAACTTGATAATATTCTTTTAATGATATATTCTTATTTTTATCAAATGGAATAATTTTAGAGGTTGAATTAAAGAATGAATCAAAAAATTTAAAAGATATAGTTCTTTTCTTTTAACTTGGTATTCCTAATTGTACCATCAAGTATGGATCAAATGTGATAGACAATCTTTCACATTTTGGACATTTTAATGTTGATTTATATTATCCATACATTAAATCAACAACAATAGATTAATTTCTAGCTAAATGATTTATCCAACTTTCTTTAGCTACAACAAAATCTGTTCTTCCATCACTATCTTTAGTTTCAACATATGGTTTCTTTTTAACTCTATTCAAATCTTCATGAATTCCATCTAAAACAAAAGTAATTAATTCAGATGAATCATGTTAATGATAACCTTTAAACATTGGTTAAAATTAACCAACAGCTTTTTTATAATTAGTAGGTGTTACAACAGATTTCTCTCCATACCATAACTTTTTTAATAGAGATCCTACTCTTTTTACTAATTAACCTTTAGTTCCTATAGGATTATCCATATTTATTTCATCAAAATATTGATTACTCAAAAAATACTCTGTTAATGGCATCGTATTTGATATACATTGAGTACCACTATTCATAAAACAAGTATTTCCTAAATTACTCAAACCAGCTAATCCTGCAACAGAATTAGATTGTTAACTCATTCCTTTTATAGTATCATCATCAGATCCAAACTTATCACATTTCATACTGTGAAAGTTTTAATCTTTAACTTTACATTCTTATGAACAATATGCTACTTTTCTACATACACATGGATAACTAAGAACTTTCATAAATTAACATTTCTCACACTTTCCTTCTATCTAAACAGCTTTATTACGAATACACCAAGGTTTAATCTCATCTTTAAACTATTTAGATAACATCTATTATTACTTCTATAATAATCAAATGATTATCTAAAATTCCTACATCTTCAATAGTTTCATATATTGAATAATGAATATAATCACCATTAAAATCAAAACTCATTTCATCATTATTCTCTAATTCTCCAACTTATTTTTAAATATCTGTAAATAATGCTTTTTAAATATCCTTCTATTCTGATTAATATCTCCAAATTCTGACATTATTATCTTTTGCAAAATTAGCTGTGAATGTTGTTACAGTTTTTTAAAGTAAATTATAGTAATCTTTCAATTTCATACTTCTATCAACTTGTAAATACAACTTATCAAATGATTTTTTATAAAACTTATCCAATGCTATCTATTTGATTACTGTAGGATAAAGCAAAATACTTTTAAACTCACATAATAGTATTATAAAATACTTTTAATAAATTGACTGCTACTATTTTCTCTGGTCCTTATCCATTTGACATCCTTACTATTGGTGTACCATGATAATATGTTTTGAAGAATTCCCAAATCTCTTTATCTACTATTATATAATCAATATTTTCTTATAGATTCTCTTTCATGAAAGTATTCCATGGATGATCCTTTATTGGATAATATTTAAAGCATTTATCAACACAATCAACTAAATTTATGTTTATATGTTCCATATTAAGTCTTCCAAAATTTTAACTTGGGTTCTTATTAGCCAATATTTCTTCATATGAAACATATTCCTTCCATTGATTTAGCCATCTTAATATTACATTTAAAATACTTCACACTCAAAATATAAAATAGATCGATTTGATCTTCTTAAAATCTCTTTTAAAAAGAATCCATAAGGTTTTTGAATTCTAAGGCTTATGTTTTAAGTTTATCCGCAACTTATTAAGACACCTTAATAAAATCTGATCTCTCATCTTCCATTGTTTACTAAAATTTAATTAATTAATTAATTAATATATTGAACATCTGCTGATAAATACTGAAATATATATACATTCATCCCAATGTAAAATATTTATTATAATTGTACTAAACTGTTATTATTTAATTTTCTCTTATATGAACTAATTACAAATATGGTTCCAACAAATAACCTTTCATTATCAATTATGCATTTTAATAACAAAAACAATTATAATATATTCTTATAAATAAGTTTGAAATTACTAACTTTATTATCTCTCTAAATAAATAAATAATAATCATTTAATTTTTCTAAATTAATATTATTAACTTTAATTATTAATACTGATCAAATTTTACATCATCAAAATTAAATAACAAATATAGAGATGTTATATATGAATGTTGGTTTAATTATTTCCATAATTTATATATATATTTATAATTATTTAAACTTCTCCATAAAAAATATGATTTGCAATAATGACACATTTAAGATGTTTACCATCAAAAAAATAATTTATGAAAATGAAAATCAAAAAATTTACTTAGCTAACATTAAAGATAAGTTCAAAGTAATTGTACTTAAAGTTGAAATTGATGATCAAAAATGCCTTTAAACTTAATACAAAATACTTAACTTTTTAAAATTTGTTTTGGGAGTGCCATAAATACTGAACTACGGTTTTACTGTTGATGAAAAGTATATATCAAATATATTTGAGGTTTTATTATTCTATAGACTATTATGATAAATCTGTTTCAAATATTTTAAAATAATACGGAACTTTAAGTCTATAATCAGTGTTATCAATAGGATTATCATTACTTAGAATTTTAAGTGCTATTCACAGATAAGAAATTATTTATAGTAATATTTGTCCAGAAAATATTGTATTTTCTAAAGAAGGTTTAGATCATGATTCTAAAATTCATTTAATTGGTTTTGGTTAAGCATTTTTAAAATATGATAAGCCAAAAAAAATTTTAAATAAAGACTTTTTTCCTTATTAATCCTGCTTATCTCACAATAATCATATACTTTATAAGAAGGATGATTTAGAAAGTTTGGGATATCTCTTAATAAAATTAAGAAAAGGTATAATTATATATAAAATTTGTAGGAACTTTACCATGGGAATTATTGCCTCAATAATTGATGAATAAGAAGAAATTTGAATGTTTGAAATCAAACGAAATATTTAAGGGACTTCCATATGAATTTAGATTGTACTTTAAATAACTTGAATAATGTAATGATGAACCAAAACATTAATATTTCATTAAATTACTAAATGCAATTATGTTTAAATATTGCAAGACAACTCGACATTGCATTTAAGAACTAAATTAATTAACTCCAATATCTGAAGCTTCAGTTGAAACAATAACATCAATAGATAGTTTATATCTCTCTCGACGATCTGCAATGCTTTCAAATGTGAGTAGTGTAAATTTGTTAACGAATACTGAATTAGACTCATCTATTGAAGAAAAGCTGAAGAAATTAGAGTTGATAACTAAATAATATAAATTAATCAGTAACTTATGAGTATATATAATATAATATTGATATCATTTATTAGATTATTATTATAAAATAATAAAAATTAAATAATAAGACAATAATATATTTTTATTTAGTGTCATTTACTTATTTGTCTATTATGATTTAAGTATTTTTAATTAATACATTATTATTATTCATAATAATAGTTTTATTATTATTATACATCTAATATTAGTTGTAATAGTAACAAATGATAAATAATAACTAAATATTAAAAAGCTCGAGAGAATTATTTAGTTTTTTTAAATGGATATTGACAAATAATTAGAGATATTGAGAAATGGGAGATGTTTAAGTGAAAGAGACACTCATTTGATTTGTGAAATTGCAAAAGATATTTTAATAGAGGAACCAAATGTAGTTCATGTAAAAACTCCAGTTATGGTATGTGGAGATATACATGGATAATTTTTTGATTTATTGGAACTTTTTAAATGTGGAGGACAATTACCAGAGAAGAAGTATATATTTAATGGGGATTATGTTAATCGAGGGTAATTTTAATAGATTATTTCAGGTATCATTCAGTTGAGACCTTCTAATATTTATTATGTTTAAAGATCAAGTATCCATAAGAGATTATATTGCTAAGAGGAAATCATGAATCAAGACCTATAACTTAAGTATATGGATTATATGATGAAGTGAAAAAGAAATTTGGTAATATTTATCCTTGGTAATACTTTTGTAATGTATTTGAATATTTGCCATTATGTGCATTAGTAGATTAAAAGGTATTTTGTGTTCATGGAGGATTGTCTCCATTAATAAATACTATTGATTAGATACGAGTAATAGGTTTAATATAAATATTATATTTAAATAAGATCGAAGAACAGCAAAAGATAATGAAGGTCCAATGTGTGATATGTTATGGTCAGATCCTGAATAAGATTTAGAGGGATGGGCAACAAATAATCGTGGGGCAGGAGTTTAATTTGGGAAGAAAGTGGTTGATTAATTTAATCATATTAATGAATTAATTTTGATTGGAAGATCACATCAATTGATAATGGAAGGATATAGATATGAATTTAAAGTAAATATAGATTAAAAATTAGAAATAATTAGTTACAGTATGGTCAGCACCTAATTATTGTTATAGATGTGGAAATAAAGGATGCATTATGATTTTGGATGAGAATTTAGAGTAGAGTTTTTTATTATTTGAAGAATCAATAGATTCTAATTAAGTTATCTTTAATTAAAATTTGTTACCTTATTTTTTATGAATTTATTTTTGAAATATATTTTATTCAATAATTATAATTAGTAATAACATATATTTGTATAATAAATTTAATTTAATGAAAAAGATAGCAACAAATTTGTCAGATTATTAATTTGCAGGGTAGGGATAATTGCTGAAATATATTCAAACATTAAGAGAAGTAGAATAGAACAGCATTATTCATAAATTACAGAAATACGATATAAAATAATTGTATCATGTAATATAGTGTTTAGAACTTAGGTTTATCAATAATTCAAAGCAAAGATAGTATAGATGACACCCTATGAGACAATTAAATGTTTAGAGTTTGATGGAAAAGACGAAGAGATTGGATTTACAACAATAGCAGAGGGCAAACGTATACGGTAATACTCACTATTTAGTGGCAATCGTATTGAGTGCTCAGCAAAACATAAGTTTGTTAGACATCCAGTTGCCTTCACATAAGTGTTTGTTTCAATTGTATTGCGAACGAATTTGGAGTCTTTAGAATATAATCAAACAACGTTGTGGAAAATGTTTACCAATATTAATATTTATAATGACAACAAATATTAATCATGATATGATTACTAGCTTTTTTTAAGATAAAAATCATTTTGGTTTGTAAGAAGATTAGATCTTTTTTATATAATAAGATAAATTACCATTATTAAGTATGGATGGACAAATTCTTTTTAGTAGTGAATTTTAAATTTCTGATGAATCAATAGGAAATGGATATATTTATTTAAATCAATCTGTTTTAGATACAATGAAATTTTTAGGAATAACAATTCTTCATTTATGTTCTATTGAAAATGTTCTTTGTAAATTTGGAGATCCTATTTGGATTGGTGCATTCATTAGAAATCAGTTATATTTTAGTGCAAAATGTGTACAAAAACGTAGTGTTGATGAAAATTTAGGAATCATAGTCAATTAATTTAATTAAGGTTTATAATACAAAGGTATTATTAATTAGAATTATATATCTTTAGAATATGATGAAATTTCATATAATGATTTAGTCAAAAAAGATAAAAATGGAAGTTTGGTTAATTCTGATGGAATCATTGGTTAAGTCTTATGTTCATTGGATTATGCTATAGAACTTTGTTGCAATTATAAAAAACATATTTTGTCTAAGTAGAGATTTACAATCAAACTAGTTTCCATATTCGATAAAAGAAATGTACATATTTTGATTACATAACTTCCAGATAAATCAAACCTATGTAATAACCAAATGCTCTAAAATTCGAATTAACATATTATGAAGCTATTCCATATTGTCCAATACAATAATTTGGATTATTTAGAGTCAAAAGAGAAGATGAATATGCTCCAATTCTCAATTCTTCAAATGAAAGTAAAGACACCATTCATACAGCAAGACAAGCCTATATGTATAGAGATTAAAAATGGATGTCTTAATTAGGTTTTGAAGTTAATTCAGAATTTGAGATATCACCTAAATTAACTTATTTTGGAGAAGGATTGGAGGAAGCTACAAAAAAATAGATAAAAAATAAATTATAAATTCCACTTATTCTACATAGTGAAAAATAAATTAGAACTGTTAGAGTTAATAGTGTTCATAATTAATAACCTTAAAGTTCACCTAACAAATACTCTTCTTAAACTGTTAATACATAAAGTTTCTTATAATAAAAAATGAGTATTCATTAAAGTTTGAATCATCTAAAATAACCTATTACCAATTCATTAGTTACTCCAACTAATAATTAAAGTTTCCAATTATCTGGTAGAAAAAGTATAGATTAAAAACCAAATAGATAGACTGATTATTATCATAGACCCAATCTAAATTAATTAAATAAACCTATTTATTATGTACCTAATACATATTATTTACCAAAAAAATGATTTAATAAATAATTTTATTATAATATTTATTTATCACAATAAATTATAATTTTATTAAACTCTCTCCCAAAACTCTTCAGATACCTAACTCAATTAAACTTCATATTGAATTAAACTCTTTGCCATTCTATAATAATTCTATTACTTCTCCAACTAACATTCAACTTAATTAATACCTTAAATTTATCAATCTCTATATATCCCAATAATACAGTAAGTATATCACATATAAATTGCATATTTTCAATGTCTTTACATACTTAATCTATCTAAACTTATAATTTTGCTATTTGATCCTCTTTCTTTGATGTACTAAATATATTCTTTATTGAAGATTTCCCTGCTAACACTTCTTATAATTAAATTTAAAGTTCCTTCTACTTTTATTCATAAACCACCTTCTATTATTCATATTTCTCTCTCTATATCATTGTTTCCAAAAATGCTTTCACTTATTTTGATTCCTTTTTAATTTCTTAAAATAATGATTGGTATTCATTCTATTGTAATAAATTAAGGTAATTATTTAGTAATTAAGATGGATATTCATCATTTTTAATATTCTAAATTACTAATTTATCTTAACTCTCACTAAACTCTAGTAAGACTTACTATTCATAACCAGGCAATTAATTTTAAAGGAAATTGACCATTGATTCTTAAAAATTCTGTCTTGCCTCAGCTATATTTCTATTATATTTTGATTATATACTTAGCAATTTATTTAAAATTCTCAACCATAGGATTTACTCTTTTTAGAAATTAATGAAAATCTGTTATCTTTTGGATTAATTCTCTATTGATTTCTCTCTATTTTCTATAAATTAAATTAATATACTCCTGAAAGATCAGTAAATGTGTCTTAATATTTATTGATTATTTCATCGTATGTCAATTTTGGTACTTAAGTCAAAGCCTATTTATAAGTGTTTTAATTACTTTTTCAATATCACCATTAGCCTTTATAAATAATTGGAATTCTTCAGAATACCAGAAATACTTCGATTAAGACATAATCCTCATCCATTCTTATAATGAATGCATTCTATCATCTATGAACTTCTAATCCATATTTCCCTAAAAGTTGTAGACTCTCTATATATACAATTGCCTTTCTTGGTGGAAGTGGTGGTATATAACAACCAGGCCACTTTGTTATAAGGAATTGTCGAATAAGTCTGAAATCGCTAAACCTTCGAATCACATCAAATTATCCATTCTTATCCATTCCTCGGACTGAATAAGTTGTATACTTGTTAAGTCCTGATTAAACCTTTGGATCACTGACTTCAACTGAGATCTTTTATAATCTCTACATCGATATATAATACCTCGAAATCATCTTAGTTCATGAATAATATTATATAAATTCATTTTCTATGTGTAACTGAGTGGTATAATTATGAATAAAACATTGTTGCCAAAATTGCAGCTCCAATAGGTCCTCCAACATAAATCCACATATTAATCATCTAATCCCAATTCTTGGCTAAACAATCAAAGACAGTTAAACTTAGAGCAGCAGCTGGATTAAGTAAACTATTACTAGATGTAATTGTGTATCTATCAAAATATTTGACAATATTACTCTCTGCAAGCATAATATATACATGATAAAATTACTAATGTGGCTATTCTATTTTAAGATAATGAAGTCTCTTTAACAAAACAAATTAAAGTAAAAATTAAAAAGATTGTAGATCCTATCATTTCTCCAAATAATGATGCAGCTAATTCTTTTATAGGTTCACTAATTTAATTTTAATTTCTTACTCTTCTATATATGGAGCCTTATCCATATTCAATAATAAAAATGATAATGCAGCTCCACCAAATGCTCCTAAAAATTGAGGTAAGAAGTAGAAAAACATTGTACCATATGGTATACCTCCACCTAAAGCCATAGCTAATGTTATTGCTGGATTAAAATGACCTCCACTTAATCTACCAAATACAAGCATACATCCAAATAATCCCAATGCTACTTAATATGCTTCATTTCTAATTGTATTTTATTGTATTACTGACTACATACACTTATATACACTAAAAAGAATGTCCCTAATAGTTCAAAAATAAAGATGTTCTTTTTAGAAATTGCTTGTTTTTGTTCTTCTGTAATTTGTTCCATAAAAATATTAAAAAAAATTTTAATTAAGATTTTAATACATGGGTGTAAGAGTCACATATCGTAGAAGAACCAGCTTTAACACAAGATCAAATAAGATCAGAAAAGTCAAGACTCCAGGTATTTAAATCCATCTACTTTAGGTGGTAGAGTTGTGACTTAATATCCCAATAAAAAGACAAGTGCATCAACATGTGCAGATTCTAATTTGAGTATTGTCTTAAATGGTCTTAAAAGAATTAGACCAACAAAACTAAAATAACTTGCTAGAAGACAAAGAACAGTCTCAAGACCATATGGAGGTGTTTTAAGTGCTGGAGCATTAAAAAATCGCATCATCAGAGCATTCCTTGTTGAGGAAGTTAAAATAGTAAAATAAATCAAAAAATGATTAATAATACATTAAAAATTTATCTATGAGATAACATTATTGCTTATAATAAATTAAATTCAATAATTTTATCTTTAGCAAAGTTTATTATAATAACTGAATTTTCCAAAATTATCTTTAGGTTATATTGTATATATGACATAATGATTAATCATAATTCAAAGATTATATATTTTATTAAAAAGAAATAAAATTGACATCTCCCTAGTTTAATTATTATGCTACATAGATAGTAATTTATTAGGAATAGATGAAAATTGTTAATAATTTGTATAGAATAACAAATATAGATTTTATTTACTATTATTTATTTTTATTAACGATTATGATAAGCAAAATGATAATGGATCGTTAGAAAAAAACATAAAATATTGATGAAAATGAATTGGATTCTTTCAATCGATATTTGTAAAGGGATAATCAACCTTTAAATTTAGGCACATAACTCTCTTATTCTAAAATTAAAGTGAATGTTGGAATGCCTGTGATAACTGAATAATAAAATGAAACTCTTGGTAATACTCATCAATCAACTGTATAACAAAGCAAAAATGTATCACCTTAAAAGAAGGGTATAGGAATGGAAGATATAAGGTTGAACATTAGAATAGTTTTCAAATTTTATGCAAGTTTTGGGAATAGAAACAATACTAGGTTTTTGAAATCAAATAAATTTATTAAAATGTTATCTGATGCTCAAATAATGCCATAAATATTATCAAATCGAGATTGTGATATTTTATATGCCTAACAAACTAAAAATAATGAGAGTCTTACACTTGAATAATTTTAAAATTTAATACCAAAATTAGCTATGATTCTATATCCCTAATAAAAAGTTCATTAAGCATTTCAAAAATTATATAATGAATATCTATCATAGTTATCTTAAAAAATATTAAATTTTACTGAATTTGGATAATAAATTCAATTTGTACTCTAACCAATAAGCAATGAAATTAAGGAATTTATAGAACCAATTTAATAATAATTGTCAAATTTACATAAATTTATATTTGAAGACTAAAGTACAAATATAACTAAAGTTTAATGGTAATTTATGTAATTTTTAACTTAATGTGAAATATTACCTAATTATATTAATTAATCTTAAGCACAAATAATTTTTGATAACATATAAATAAGATAGTAAACCCTTAATCTATAAGAAAGTGGAAATTATTTATTTAGTTTGAATAATTTTGTTGAAAGTTTGATAATAATATCAAAAACAGTACCAAATTTAGATGAATTTACTTAATTTAGATTATTACTTGATAAAATTGAATAATCAGAAGGTTTTAGTTAATATTTAAGAAAATTAAATAGAACATAGAGTGATAAAGTAAGATTATTTTATAATATTGAAAAAAGTAGAGTCTATAATAAATAAGATAATCTAATTCAATAAAGTTAAATGATATCAAATACTTAAAATAATTTAAGTCATACTAACATTTAAAATATATAAATTGGAAATACTAATAAAAAAGTTGATGAAAGTAGAGTTAATGTTTCTTTATTGAAATAATCTAAATATTTATCAGATATAGAATAATCTTATATTTCTTCATTGAAAAAATTATTTGAATTTTTTGCATAAAGTGGAGAACCTAGTAATATTTAATCTTTAAAAAATACAAAATTTAATAAATTATTGTTACATTCTGGAATTTTGAATAATTTAATAACTATAACTGATTCTGATATGATCTATTCAAAATTATGTGGTGTTTAATCAATTAAAACTTAATAAAAAAATAAATAATTGACAAATGGTAAAATGACTTTTGGATAATTTCAAATGAGTTTGGGAATCATAGCTGAGAAATGTGGAATAGATGTAAATGAATTAATTCAATAAAATATATTACCTTTAGAGAAATAAATATCTGATGATAATAAAGAATAAATCCTATAAATATTAGTTGATCTATTGTAAGATGAATCAATTGTATAATAATTATATAATAATATTAGATTTAACTATATGAGATGATTTAACCAGTATTTGATTGGTATTTTTAAGAATATACAAAATAATAAAATTCAATATTGTATTTATCAGAATTTTTGAAATTTTGTTAAGACTTTGAATTATCCAACATTTTAATATCTTAGTCATAATTGACTTCAATATTTTACTCTGTAGCATCACTTAATTAAGAAGGATAAGAATATACAGATTAGATTTTCCTTGATAAATCTTAATTTGTAGAAGCCATCAGTATTATAGCCATTCAAATTTATTCTACAATTCCTAACAACATATAAAGAGTATATATATTAATATTATTAGATTGTATATCTCCTGGAAAGAATATTTTAGTCTCAAAATGCTTCAAAAATATATGTTAAATAAAATAAGTATATATATTTATTATTAAAAAATATAGATTATAAGCTAGATTTTAGAATGTTATTGAGGATATTAAATATAGATTTTTAGAAAAAGATAAAATACATTAAATGGAAGAATAATATAATTTTGATGATTTAGTAAATGGAACTGTTTAATAATTTTAATGATTTTATTTATTTTCAGAATAATTCATTAATTAAATCTTTTAATTCTAAAATTGTACTTTCTTATTATTTTTCTTTAACAGGAAATTCTATATTATATGATTCTTCTGGTTAAATTGGTTCTTAAACTTCATTATAAACATCTTTTAGATTCATCTTTCTATATTTTCCAGAAATAATCATTCTACTTACCTTTTATCTTTCTTTCTATTCTTGTAATGAGTGTCCATATTAAGTAAAAGAATATTTTGGTAAAATAGTATTACTTTAAGCAGCAGATCTTGGAGGATTTTAAAGATTTCGAGAACATTAACTACAAAATATATCAGTTTTTTAAGCTTATGGAATAAGAACCAAATAAATAGGAGTTTAACAACATTTACTACATGGAATCCATTCAGAATCTAAATTTAATAAAATTTAATTATTAACCTGAAAAATAAATGTAAAACTTTTCAGAAACAATATGTTAACATATAAGTAAATTTATTTCTTAAATTGTAAGTTCTTTAAATTTGTCTTATACAATATTAAGAACTGATAATCTTCTCCTGTCTCCAGGTGGTAGGGCTTTGAGTTTAGCATTCATGACATTATGAAGAATAGTACGATAATTTGCTAAATGTGTTAATAAGTCTATTACTTTTGAGAAAGTATATTTTCAGATATCGTTTACTTTATTTTGTTTCCATCTCATTATTATTTAATTACTCAGAAAATAACATATTAGGTTATCTTTAGGTGTGTGAAGTTGTTGCTCTTGGAACATGACAAATAGACTATCAATTAGTTATTTTAATTACTTGAGCTGTTGAAGGTTTTTTTATAGGCTGAGTTTAAGAAGTAAATGGACGCACTTATATATTTGACTTATAACTCTATACAGGATTAAATGGGTAATTTTGAAAGACAATTCCCTTCTTTAATTTTCCAACTGATTAGGATTTTGAATGGATAGCATTCTAATTGTCGATTTGTGTGCTATAATAATTATAATTCATGTTAAATTAATAACTTAAAATTATTAAGTGATACTTAATAAATCTATTTATACATCATCAATTAATATACAACTGATTACTCATGCAAGGTATCAAATATAAACTAATAAAACCCTGAAAATATTTTTTATAATTATAAGAAAGCTAATGGAAAGATGAAAACAATATTATATACTTTTTATTCTAAGGTTTAACTAAAAATTTCTAAATTAATACCAATTAAATATTTCTAGAATCCTATCATTTCTCAAAAAATCTAAATAAACAAGATATCATACTAAGTTAGACAATAACTTTAGCCAATAGTATAGGCCAACGAATGTACAACTTTAAAAATTATAAATATTTTTTGATGAATAAATGAAGAACAAAAAAGATAATTGATACCTTTAATTTATATAGATCTAAAAAAATAAAGTAGCATTAATAATTATGGAACTAAAAGAAATAGTTAAAGAAATCTCTGAGCATTTTTTTAATTTCTATTTGTAATCGAGATGGAATCAATTTTTTCTCATGCAATTTGATTTTACATTCGGAACTCTCATACACATAAGTCGAAATGCATATTAGAATATTTATTTAGAATTAAATAAATGTATTATCAAAATATTGTTGTTGTTAAGTATAAGATGGATGAAAAAGTTCTTATTTGTTTTAATTTATCATTGTTAAAGAATATCAAATCTCAAAAGTACAAGAGATGTACTGTGACTTTTTTAATATATAAAAATGACTAAATAGCAATTATATATAGTTATATAAAAATTCCATTCAAACATGGTTTCTTTATCAAGGCTTTGAAAACAACAAGATATCCAGTATGCTTTGGGGAGCAGATAAAGATGTCGATGGCTATTCAATAAATTTACTAAGGAGATATTAATTTGTATTATGAGGAGAATGATTAGTTTTATATTGCTATATTTTCTTATATTTATTATATTTATATTTGTTATTACCATCAACTCTCTTTCTTGATTTAGTCTCTTGGTTAGAATTTTTGTTGATTTCTAAAAAATTATTAAATTCATTATATACATTTTCTAATTATATCTGATTTCGTTAAAAGAACCATTAAGAAGATTTTATAATAATTTATATTTATTAATTTTATTATTAAGAATTAAAACTATTTTTATAGCTTTTAAATTTCATTTTAGAATAATTCAATATATGAAGTAGATAACATTGATATTAAAATAAATATTTACATTCCTTTAAAAAGAATGTATATTTTTTTATATTTATTCAAATAGTAATAACAATATATTTTTTATTTTATAAAATAAATATACTATTAAATATAAAATAAATGAATAATGAGTTATATGGTAAATATTCATAACTACAAAATCAAATAATAATATTTTAGCAATTAATGTGTCCATAATTTCTACAAACTAGACATTAGATCTATTCTTTTTAATTGTTTATTTATTGAACCAAAATTCCACAATCTTATTCATTATGACTATTTTTTCCACAATTTATGCATTATTAGAATTTTAGTTAAAACTTAATATTAATAAATATGTTTTACCTTACAATCATATTTTCTATGGCCTATTTGATTACATCTAAAACACGATACATTAGAACATATGTCTCCTACATGTTTTTAACTTAAACAATAATTGCATTATATATTTTATTTTTCAGTACATTATCTTTCTTAATGTCCAGTCTACTTACATCTATAACAATATTCAAATGGATTATATTAATAGTATCTATTCACTCCTAATTCTAATTCATCTTTTAAATCTTATCTAAAATTTGTTAAAGTTTATTAATACTTTAAATTATTATCATCTTTCATTTCATTTTTATCATCATCATTTTATATTTATTGTTATTAGATATTTAGTTTTTATATTTTTTCATTCAAATTTTACATACAAGTCATTTTCTTTTATCCATTCAATTCATACTCTATCAAATAATTTCCTTTAGGTGGATTAATATCAAAAGTAAAATCTAAAATTTTGGTCTAATATTTTTCATGTTTTTTATTTTATTTAAAATTTTAAGGCAAAGAAGGAAGACTATCAGATTCACTTGAACTAGTAATTTTCTAAAAATTTGAACTAGTAGATGATGAGCTACTACTACTACTACTACTACTACTACTACTATTTTTCTTTTTCTTCTTCTTATTTTTATATTTCTTTCTTTGTTCATATTTTTAATTTTATTTTGAAATTCGTCTTTCATTTTATTTATATTCCTAATATAGTTCTTCTAATGCATCTAATTTTATTTATTACTTCATTAAATATTATATACTTAAATATGATAATCCAGAATGCATTTTTCTTGCCATATTGACATTTTACAATAAAATTATTATATATTTAAAATAAATTAAATCAATTGTTAGCTGCACGATGAAATTTGATATAATTAATATTATCTTCTTCTTCTTAATCTTAAACTTATTCTTCTAAAGGTTTTAGATCATATATTTAATGTTAAATTTATTCACTTCTTTCAAAATCTCTAGTTAATGCAAGATTAAGTCTACAAATTTATTATTCATTATTAGAAACTCTTTACTCAAGAGCTTATAAAGTCCTAAAAATAAATTAATTAATTATAACCTTGTAATTAATTCTAATTAACCACTAATATTATCTAATTAAGTAATAACTTCAGCTGGTACATCTTCTTTCTATAATTATACACTTTAATTAAATTCACTCTTTTTGTGTAGACTATTATCTGCATTTGAATATAGAACAGTTTCCTTTTACTTAGGTAATTAACTATTTGTTTATTATATATTTTCTTTCTATTAAGATGATTATTATTATGTTTATGGTTATGTATGTTAAATAGGTTTAGTTTTAACTTATTTAGGTTTTTCATCTAAAGATTCTTGACCACTGCATACCCAATTAGTATTCCAAACTAAAATCATACTATCAGATCCTCCAGTAGCAAAATAATCTCCATGATTAGAAAATGCACATGTAGTAGCTTAACCATTATGACCATAAAGTGTATATGCTAATTTACCCATTCTTAGATCCCATACTTTGACTTTACTATCAGCTCCAGATGTCATAGCAAATTATCCAGATGGATGAAATTTCAAATCTAATACTGAATCTGCATGAGCATCATAATGTTATATAACTCTTTTTGATCTTACATCAAATAATTTTAATTTTTTATCATGAGAACATGATCCTAATATTGTAGAATCTGGTGAGAATTGAACTTTATAAACTACTCCTATATGTTCATTATATCTTTAAGCTTCTTTTTTTGAATCACAATCCCAAATAATAACTGCTCTATCATCACCACCTGATGCTATCAATCTAACATCTTATGAAAATACAGCACTTCTAACCCAATTTGTATGCTGGAATCCATATTGAAATTTACGATCATTTACACTCCAAACTTTCACAGATTTATCATCACTTGAACTTACTAATAATTAACCATCACAAGAAAATTAAACACTTCTAACAGGTGCTGAATGTGCCTTTATTGATACTGAACTTCCTTCAACTGTATTATTCCAAAGTCTTATAGTCTCATCTTTAGCACAAGATGCAATTAATAATCCATTAGGAGAGAATTGTACATCACTTACTTATCCTTTATGACTCATAAATCTATAAATTTTTCTTGGTTATTTCAATTGCCATACAGATACTACACCATCATTTGCACTTGAAGCTATTGATTTTCTACTATATAATTATTGATATACAATCCAGGATGAAATGACAATGCTGTTATAGTATCTTTGTGTCCTTTAAGTGTTGTAAATAATGTTGGATCGTCTTACATTTCGTTTAATTTAAAATTCAAATTATATAATTAATTCTTTTTTTTTTAATTAAGATTAAAAGACTATTATTGATTCTATTTCTTTTATGAATCTCTTCTATTTATTTACCTAAATATTAATTTATTTAATAAATAAAAGAAATTCTTTTTTCTAATATCCAATTTACTAAGAATTAGAATATAATTAATTAATAATTATATATTTAATAGTTTCTGATAAACAATAAAAGGATTTTCTGTGAATATATATTAATAATATTATACAATCATTTAAAATTATTTAATATATGTCATAGAAGAAAAGTGAATGTGAATTGATTTTAATTGATCCATCAGATGATACAGAAATTAAACCAATGAAAATCTTAAAAAAAATTGTTACTAATGCTGCTGGAGTTCGATATCTAGTAGAATACAGTAATAATGAATAAAAGTAAGAAACTGAAAAATATATGAAGGAGAATTATTAGGAATTGATAGAAGATTATAATTATTTTTCAGTTTGTGGTAGTAGATTTGATTAATTAACTTTGCAGAAAATGAGAGAAAATAATAATAAGATATAAAATTTTGATAATCATTAAAAATTACCTACTATTCCATCTGATGAAAACTATCCAATTTTTAAAAGGCAAAAAAAAATTGATAAATAAATTGAAAAAAATAACAAATCCAATATATTACCATTGCCATAATAATAGCAATAATAATAATAATAATAAGTTTAAATACAACAGAATTAGTAACAATAACAAATTTAATAATAAAATAATTTAAATTAAAATGAGAAATATTTAATTAAATAATAACAAATTCAAAATTAAAGCTTACTATAATTTTAATCAGATTAAGGAGATAAAATTAAATCTATCTCTTTAGAAAATGGATTATTTCTTGTTTAATGGTTACCAAGACCTGATGGAAATATACCTTATCAAGAATATTATCATTATGACTATCTAAAAGCAACTGCTCCTACTATTTTATTATCATTTTTAGAGTAAGAATTCTTACATAATGACTTAAAATTTAAAAATCTTAAAAGACATTCTTTTTTAAATTCAAATAATGAAATTATTTAAAATGATGATAATTTATCTAATAAAGATAATAAAATTATTACTTAATAATTAAAAAATTAAGAAATAATTGATGTCTAAAAAGAAGTATCAAAGGATGATTTATTGAATAAAAAAGATGTATTATTTGAAGAAGTAAAAGAACAAAAAGATAATTCCAAAGATATTCTTATTGATGACATCTAAGTAGATAAAGCATAAGAAGTAATTCTTGATGAAAAATAAACTGCTGAAAAAGAAAAAAAATAATAATAATAAAAAAAAGGCATTATTCCTACAAGTAAACCTTAAGGATAAAATTAAAAATTAAAAAAATCTACAATAGAGAAAGGTTAAGAAATGTTTACAATGGATAAAATATAAGGAAAACTAGATGAAAAGTTATCATAATTAGATAAGCCAATACCTAAATAATAAGTAACTATTACTGAACCAAAATTGACAAACTAATCATTTCCAGCACAATTTGCTTAAGCTTAAGTATCAGATGAATTTGAAATACTTGGTTCTTTAGAAAAACATGATGATAAATAAAATTTAAATTATGAAAAAGAACTTGAAGAATGTTATTCTGATGTTGATTTACCACATTTTTAATTTAATTAAAGTGAATTATGAGTATTATATAATTTATATTAAAAATTAGATAGTTTAAATTTATCTACAATATCTTTGAAAGATATTAATTTATTATAACTTAAGAATTTATTTGAGAAGGATATAATTATATGAAATGAGTATTAATATAATTTAATTAATAAAAGTAAATAAGTTGAGTTTTTATTTATTCTTTTTCAAAAAATCCTTAAGTGAACATTCATGGATGTAGAAAATATCTGAATTTAGAGTGAACAGAAATTATTGATATTAAAATCAACAGGATAATTATAAATAGATTTTTATTTGAGAGTGAATAAATAATATCTAATGAAATTAAATCCTTCACAATTTGAATATTTAAATTTAATTGATTCACTTCTTATTAGTATTCATAACCAATATTAATATGCATTTCTTCATCTTTAATTATTATTTAAAATCCTTTAGAATATAATATATATATTTTTTAAATAACTTATATATTTTTCTTCAATCTCCTTAACTGAGATGTGTTATTGACAAGTGGGAATTAATAATAAGATTATTCTGAGTCTCTGACTAAGAAAATTTAGTTAAATTGTAATAAAATAGAAATTCTAATTTGATAGATTCCTTATGTGGAGAGATCTCTATTTTTGAATTTTGGAGATGAATTAAAACTCCGATCTATGTTTTCATCTAAATATATTTAATATTTAATATTCATTTATCTTGGACGGTCTTAATTAGCCATTCCATTCCTTCTTATAAACCTTCTTGAGTTTTGGCTGAACATGCAACAATAGACCATTATCTATCATTGATTTTATTTAATTTCAAACTATCAGAGATCTTAATTAGATAGAATACTAACCTCATCAGCAGGAAGGGCTTGCACCAAGTCTTATTTATTTGCAAATACCAAGAGGGGAACTTTCTTTAATTCAGCTTCTCCTAGTAATTTATCTAACTCTTTGCCTCCTTCTTCCAAACGCATTTAATCAGATGAATCAATCACAAATACTAAAGCATCTGTATTTTCATAGAAGTTGCTCCAATATTCTCGAAGTTTCTATAAAGTAGTATTGGAATTACCTCCTAACCTCCTACATCCCAAACATTAAGTTTAAATCCTTCATGTTATAAATTTTTAATGTTAAAGCCGTGAGTAGGAGCAATTTGATTAATGTCTTCATTTGATAATGCTTTTAAAATAGTAGTTTTTCCTGCATTATCTAAACCCAAGACAAGAATTCTTAATTCTTTCTCTGACTTCTTAATCTTACGAATGATATTAAGCAAACCCTAAATAAGCATTTAATTCATACCATCCTTAAAGATTTGTTTTATTATTATATTTATTATTTAATATTTTCCGTTGCATATATTAATAAATCATGGATATAGAGGTTTATCTTCGCTCTGATGAGAACTTGTAAGATCTGGATGATGTACTGGATAAACTGCTTCTTTAACTCTAAATCATTCAAAACCAATAAAATACCTTCCACTTGCTTAATCCCTAGCAGCAACACGTTTTTTGGCTTCATTGATCTCAGCTTGAGTAATATTAGTGTATCTTTCATCAGCCCACATTGTGTCTGGTCTAAGTTTCTCTCTATGTCCATCAGCCCAAGTCTTATCTGAAACATCTTTTACAGTTCTACCCTTAAATTTCAATTAATATCTAATACCTTATTATATGGAGAGACCTCTAATACAGAACGATATTATTATGTTTAGATAGCCTCAATCTTATCAAGTTGTTTCTTCTTTTCTTTTAATCCTTCCAAAGCCCATTTTGGACAAATTGATATTATATTATCAGCTTCTTCTTAACATTTAGTTACTCCATTCACACTCTAACATCGTTTAAATTATTCAATCTATCTAACACAACCTCTTGGAAGTGCTTAAGCTCTAATTGCCAATGCAGTAAACATAGGAGCATCTCTATTTCAAATAGGATTTCTAATTACTTTCTTGTTTGCCAACCATGATTACCAAAGTGTTATTCACTCAAAGGATCATAATGAGTTGGGAAGAATACACTCCAATTTACTCTATTAGGGTAAGGATCTGGAAAATAGAATCCATTTCCATTTCTAATTCCCATACCCATACGCTTCTAATTAGGAATTTGTTGCATAGCAAATGGGTTATATGGAGCGATAGCCCTTCTCCATTTAGACAATGTATTATTCAGTAGATTCTTTTTAACATTCAAATATGGATAATTGGTCTCATAGTACTCAAAATCCAATGGTTGACCATCTGGGTTATCGTTCGACATATATAAAGATTTAATTAATTAATATACTATTTAAAATTAAAAAAGAAATATGTGTAAACATATACTCAATGCTTAAGTTGCTATAAGAGCTCCTTGTTGTAAAAAGTAAACATTCCAATTTATTAATTAATAAGATGGTATGATTGTGCAGAATGTCATTAAGAATTAGAAGATCATCCACTTTTAAAATCAATTGAAATGATTTTTGCATGTAAAAAATGCAAAAAGGTTTTTCGAAAAGACATCACAGATTATGATGAATCTGATGAATATTGTCCACAGTAAATCATATCATTATTATATTTAAGTTGTGATAACCATTATGTTATTAAAGCAGTCACTTAAGAATCAAAAGAAATTTAAAAGTTTGAGAACTTAGTTAAGGAAGTCAAATAATGAATTAAATTAAGTCTTATTCTGTTTTAATAATAATATTTTGGTTATCTTTATTTTTTAAGAATAAAAGTTTATAAATTTCAATGCATCTTTTATTAATATTATATTTTTATTTTCTCTTTCATTTATAATTTAATAAATTTTATGAACTTGTATTATTATATATAATAAGAATTAATTAATAAAGATGTTGGATTATATAATAAAATATCCATTTTAATTATTATACAAATTTTCTTAGGTATACTACAAATAATTCCATTATTGTATTGAATTTAGATATAATTGTTAATATTGATATGATTAATATTCTAATTTATATTTCTATTAATTAATATAAAGTAATTTAAATTTATGGAAAGAATAAAGTATATAGATTTCTATTATTTTAATATAATTTCAAGAATTATTGGATATTGAATTGAATTAAATTTGAATATTATTATTAATGTCTTATCATTATTTGTTTAAGTTTATCATTATTGGAGATACAGGTAATAGTAATAAAATAAAAATGAAGCTGTTGGAAAATCTTGCATTTTGTATTAATTTTTGGAATAGAAGTTTCGAGTGAAACATGAAATGACTGTGGGAGTTGAATTTGGTGCCAAGATACTAAACTTAGAGAACAAATAAATAAAATTATAAATTTGGGATACAGCTGGATAGGAAACCTTTAAATCTATTACAAGATAATATTATAGATCAGCTGCAGGTGCAATTTTAGTATATGACATCACAAGAAGAGAGTCATTTGAAAATGTTAGAGAATGGATAAAAGAATGTAGAACACATGGAACATTAGAAATGGTTATAGTGTTAGTTGGAAATAAATTGGATTTAGAAAAATAGTATAATATTCATAATATAAATGGCGTAAAGTTTCGAAATCTGAAGGACAGTAGTTAGCGTATGAAAACAATTTATTATTTATTGAAACAAGTGCAAAAGATAATTTAAACATAATTGAAGTAATTTTAAACTAACTGAATAGACATTCTCATAGGCAGCATAATAAGTATTAAAAGTAGTATAGAAAAGTTAGTAAAAGAATGAATTACCAGGAGTTAGAGTAGGATATGCAATTGATTAGACTAAAGGTTAATAAAATAGTTAAAGTTAAAATAAATGCTGCTGATATTATTATTAATTTATATATATATATCATTATTACACAGAAATTAAACAATTTAAAATGGATTATTTATTAATCCATTTTAATTATTCTAAATCATTATTAATATAATCAAAATATATATATTTCTAATCCTTATGCTAAATAGATATATTATATTAATTATTAATATTATATATAAATAATATGCTTCACATATTCGTTTTTGTAGCCATGATTTTGGTTGTACAAAATACTCAATCAAATGATAAAAAAATGTCTTATAAAGGTTTCCAATTATTTTTATTATGTAGAATAAAATGAGGATCTAGCAATCAGTACAAATATTTTTAATTCTTGCATAATTATCTCTTACAATTATTTAACACAAGAAGATGGCAAAATTGAAAATGAATTAAATAAAATCATGTAGGCTTATGATGACATCTATGATTTAGAAGAAAGAATATTACAATAATATATTGCATCAAAAAGAATTAAACTTGAAGCAGCCAAACATTGTGTTAAAAAGCAAACTTCTTAAGGAGCATAAAAAGTTAGAATAATTATTTATTCAATAGATATTATAAGAATTGTAAAATAAAAGTTTTAATGCCAAAAATTATTATCATATGATGAATGGATTTGAATTAACAAACTTCTTTAATAGATAAGTAGAATACAAATTCACTAGAGATGAAGATACTCTTTTTCAAATTATGGAAGTACTATAAGTTTTCTATTAATTAAATAGGAATTTTTAACAAAATTACGAAAAGCTTCAGGAATTGATGAATTTGAACTTAATGATTTATATCCTCAATTAAAGAATGATGAATTGAAAACTAGAATTTTTGGAGTAGCTATTGAATCATCATGGCTATCATATATGGTTTTCTTTTCAGTTGCTTTTGTAATAATATTAATAATGAAATATGGTATTCTTTTATTTTATTTTAAATAGCTTATGTCACTCTTTAAGATTCACTAAAAAGCAAATCAAAAAGATAAAAAAAATAAAAAAATTGAAAATATTAAATGAGTATTTTAAATTAAGGGTTGTATTTTACATTTAAATGTTTATTTATTATTATTATTATTATTATTATTATTATTATTATTATTATTATTATTATTATTATTATCTTAATATTAAGAGGAATATTCAAACATTATATGGTTTATTCTTGCAATCATTTCAAAATAAATTATAAGGAATATATTGTTAAATTTCATTAAATAATTACATATAGTATTTAGATACTGATGACATTTAATAATTTTATAGGTAATTTAAAGGGGGTTAATTAATATATGAGTTTCAAAATGTGAAACAACAACATCCTTTTGATCTTTGGATCATCACAAATTTAATTGGATTATCTGTTCCTAACAATAACTCATGTACTTTAGATTTGTTAACTAATTTGGTCTTGCTTTATTCCTAAATTAAATCAAAGTCGTCTGGACCCAAATCGGTATATCTTAAAGTTATAAGAACCTTCCCCTTTGAATGTATTTGGTACCTTTATATCTTCGATGGATATTGTAGATTCAACATCTAACTAAAAAGTATCCTTCTCGACTGAAGGATGAGAAAAGTCTTTATGGACTGTAATGTATATTAGCATATTTTAATATATATAATATAATAATTATATATATATATATCAAATAGAAACTAATTCAATCCAATAAAGATTAGGTTCTACTTACCATTTATACCCTTTAGTTTGATAAATTTATGAATTCTGATTATTTAAGTATTCAGTCACTTTATTCATTTGTACTTTTTCCAAGTCCATAAATTATGGTTCTAAACTCCAAGTTTTAGCAACAACAATTAAAGTAAGCACTTAATAATATTCTAATAAAATACATGCTGCAAAACATAGAATAGAAACTGCAACATAAAGCAAAGCTAATTTATCTCTATTTCCATATATTAAAACTAAAAGAAACACAAAGGCTAAAAGAATTAAGAAAACTGAGACATAAAGAAGTGGTTAATATGCCTTAGTAGGATCTTTGTGTTCTTCTCTTTATTTTTCTCTCCACAAATTACGACATATACGAGTAGCTTCAGCAACCGTATTATCAAAGGTTTATTTGTCTATAATTCTAGCTAGCAATTTTTCATCATAAGTTTTCCATTGAAATCCAACACCCTAGAATTTGATAAGCAATCACAAATACATCTTTATTTGCTTTGACAATGAAACGCTCTTCTGTAGATTGTGGAAACTCTAATTTATCTATCTTTTAAGCCCTTGAAGCAAAATTAAAGTCTCCTCCTTTGACTTTCTTCATTTAATTTATATTATATATTGTAAAAAATATATTAATAACAATCGTAAATTGTATAAATTCGAACAATACAATAATATGTATCAAATACCATACCCTTGGAAAAATATATATTAAGAATCTGATTAATTTTGAGTTTAAGATACAGAATCATCTAGTCTTGATTATCTACTTTTACATTAGGAATCTGAATTAAGTATTGTCAAATTGATTAGATTCAAGGATAAAATATTGAAATAATTGGATTTGAAAGATTATGGAATATAATTAAAATTTATGTCAATTTAAAGGATGATTCAAAATAAGTTTTTTAATGTGAAAAATTCTTATTTTAGAATATTATACAATTTTCTATATGTAAAAATTAAGTTGCAATAATAAATGATTTGGAATTATTTGTATTTACAATAATTAAAATTGAATAGTGTTATTAGTTAAGAATATACTATTTATGAGGGACAATAAAAAATATGGAAAATTAATTCAAATCTATCAAAATGTAAAATCGATTGTTTATAGTAGATTAAAAATTGTATTTTGTTAAGGATAAAGTAAAAGAAAATGATGTTGTTCTATTAACTTCATCTAATACTTAATAATGTTTGTCTTTCATCATATAATTATATTAATTAGTAGAAGTACATCTCAAATTATATAATCATTTATCAATTGATTATAGAGATTAAATAACTGACTTGAGAAAAATCAATTATGAATTAGATGAATTACAATTATTAGAAATTGCAGCTTAAAAGATTGCATTAATTTAAATTCAATTTCAAATATAGAATTATGGATAAATGGATTTATATGTATCTAAATTGAAAACATGGAAATTAGATTTTTTTATGAAAGATTATAAATATTATAATCACCAGAATTATCTTTTATTTCCATTAATGGAAATACATTAAAAGGGTATAATGAATATATGCAGCAAACTAAAAGGAATATAACCTATTTATTTTGTGATGAGCCATTAAAATGAAATTGATTTTCATTCTTCATCAGGTGAATTTTAGGTTAGATTTAATCTTTAATAATTTCTTGTGAGAGTAGACAAAGCTCTTTATGTTGTTTCTAAAATTATTAAGAAAGTAGTACCATTAGATAATTTTGCATTCATTTTAAAAACTGATAATTATTTAACAGCTTTTGCTATAAAATTGCAATAAACAGTTATAGTAATATATTTAAAATTTTATTGAAGATCTAGGAATGGTATTAAAAGAATCTTCATTTGCTAAAAGCCAATTTTTTAAGTAACAGGAAAGGATTTTCAATTTAAATCATTTCTTTTAAATTTGTTCTAAATTGGATTAGATTAATATTTAGAAGAAATCTCAATAAATAGAATTAAATAAGCTTTTAAATATCCTATGAGTAATTTTAATGAATAATTAATTATCACATTTAAAAATAAAATCTTTAAATAAGGAGTTGAAGTAGTTAAAATAAAAACTGATTAAATTAAAAGTATATGTATTAATAATGCTAATCCAATTGAAGGATTTGTATTATATGGTAAAATTTCTAAAACATATGAATTTTATTACACTCTTTAACACAAAAATAGATCACTTGATGGTTATAATTTAATAGAAGAAGAGACAATAGATGAAGCCATAAGGACAGATTCTTCATAAACAAATAAACCATATATTATAAAACTATGTTCTTCAGCTTTAGGAATAAGGTTGGATTTGATAAAGAGAAGGAACCATATTTAAAATCAAGAGCAAATCCATATGAAGAATATAAAGATTTTACTGAAAAGTTTTAGAATTGTTCTAGTAAATAAATTCCAGAAGAAGATTTGTAATGTTTGGCTTCTCATCCTCATCTACCATTATTTTTACAAGGAGGAAAAGAAATGGTTAATGTAATGACTTTTAAATAATCATCCCAAGTAGTTGCTGAATTCAATACTTAATAAATAGATAATACTGATTTTCTTAAATTTAATAACTCAGAGGAATTATTTATTGGACATGATGTAAATAATAGTGCTTATATTTGGAAACTCAATAGAGACAACAAACTCAATACACCACTCTTCTTACTTAATAGTAAAATTAGACCAACTACTGATTTAACATTTATATATGAGGGAACAGTTTTTGCTTCTATTTATAGTTCTACTGATAAACCTCATTTGGATTATATGATATGTTATTACCATATAATCGTAATATTGTAGCATAAGAAAAATCTAATGGTACAGATATTTTATTTTGTACTCCTTTGAATTCAATATTGATAGGAAATCAAAAAAAAGGAACTGTCAATTTTTTAGATATCAGAAAAAATTAAATCTATAAAACATTAGAGGTAAGTAGTTAATTATATTTTTAAGTTACCTTTTAAAGAAATCAAATTTATGAAATTAAATTAGTATCAAACATCATTAATTTGTGCATGTAATGATGGACAAATAAAAATCATCAATTTAGAAACATTATCAACAATTGTTGATTATAAACTATTTAGATAAGGTATTAAAACATTCATATTATTTTAGATAAAAAGCAGTTAATTATGGCTTTGACTTAATCTGAAAATACTACATATGCAGCTTCATCAGATGGTGTTATATCATTAGTATATTTGAATGCATGAATTATTAAATGAAAATTTAATTAGATAAAGACACATACATTCTCTAAAAAAAAATAGGTGAAGGTAACTTTGCTACAGTTTATGCTACTCAGCATCAAAATCTTGTAGCTAAAGTATGTTACAAGTCAAATCCTAAAGCATTTAGAGCATTCTAAATAGAAATGGACATTTTGAATAAAATTTAAGGAGAAGGAATTGTAAAACTAGAGAAGTCTGGCATTACTCAATTATAAGGCTAAACAAGTGGAATCTTGATTTTAGAAAATTGTTCTAAGGGAAGTCTAATAGATTTAATGACAACTTATGTATTATCAAAAATATCATCAAGATTAATAGAAGACCTCCTGAACAATTAGTATTGATGGTTGCAAGAGACATTATTAAAGGATTAATTTAAATTC